TCTCTATCTTTTCAGTATCCCTGCAGCTGTCACGCGCTTCCCTCCACCCTCAGCTTCTGAAAGAGAACAATATGACCTTTTGCTTGCTGCTGCACCTTCCCCCACTGCAAGGAAACAACCTAATATTCCTCTAGAAGAGGTAATGATGTGCCATGGCAATATGTGGATATGTATACAAGACACACCTTACCTTCTGTGAGTCCTTCACAACTCTTGCATGGCATTTTCTTAAGATAGAAATTATTATTGTAATACCAGTGCACAGTTAATTGTAAAACCATATTCAAAGTGCAGTTCTAGACAATGGGCAAGGCCATATCAATGACGATTTCACATGGGTCTTTCCTGCAGCAGTGTCAATGCTTTCCATTAGTGACTTAAGTGATGGAAGAGAGAGAGTCCATGGCATAACTTCGCTGCTGAAACCAAGCTGGGAAAGATGGGCAAACACAGTCACTTCAGAACAACTTTGCTGAAGGTGACCTACAAACTGAAAAGAAAAACGAAGCACCAAGCCCCCGTGAAAACTTCACCTGTCTTCCACCCTGACACCCATGTTCAGTCCTTCTGCTCTGCTCCAGTTTTACCCCTGGCCTTAGGAGCACTGTCCAGTTCGGAGAATCACAACTCAGGAGAGACGTGAATCCACTGAAGCGAGCAGAAGTCTAACCAACAGGGCATTATTAAAGAGAGTGGAAGAGTGAGACATTTAATTAGTCCAGGTAGCGCTGCAACGCCAAGTGATAACACATCTCAACTATTTTAGGTATCTGCAGCAAAAGGGATGATTAAACACTTCCCCATGTCTGTGAGCAATAACGACAGAATAAGGCACAAACCATTTACATTACAGCAACGGAGAGGAGGAGTCAGGGAAGAATTTTGCCTGTCTTTGATCTTGCTAAAGAGGAATCCAGGCAAGAAAGCCATTTTACTAATGGCTGACATTAAGTATTTATCAGATTGTGTTTGCATAGCAGCATATACCATATACAGGCAGTCCTGAGTCTGCTCGTATCATCACTGGTGTGGGTATGAACATTCAATACTAAAAACGGTTTAAGTCCAAAAAGAGACCAAGATTTTTAGAAGTACTGAATGTTTTAAAGAACAAACTAGGCAAAACACGCACCAGGAATCACAGAAATTAATTCGCCCTGCATGAAGTGAGAATTTGATGATTTCTTAAGAGTCCTTTCCAGACCCGTAACTTTGTGATAATACAGTTTTGGCTTCACGTGATGAGACAAGATTATGTGAAGTTTCTGACCTAATGGGACAGAAACAAGTACTAGAGATCGACTAGTACTGCAGCTGCTTACAGCACCATACATGACTGCTTTCCTGCACATAAGATAACGAATGGTAATAAAATATTAAAAAGTAAGGCTAAGATATCTAGTCTTAGGGAATTTTATGTCAGCATTTTCACAAAGCACTGCAGTTACATGAGTTGTTTTGCTGAAGGCCTCTATGTTGGGTGCAGGTGTGAAGGTTTTGGGGAGGGGGGCTGCAGGGCTGACCTCCGCGGGGAGAGGCCAGGGGCTGCCCCGTGCGGGACACAGCTGGTTCCAACGGACCGGCGGGGGAGCAGATACCCACGCTGCAGCCCACAGGCAGCCCGTGCCGGAGCAGGTGGATATTCCTGAAAAAAGTGTGGCCCATGGAGTGCCCACAGCAGAGCAGAGGAAAAACACGAGGGGGAAGGGGCTGCAGCAAGAAACTGCTGTGTACTGACCATAACCCCCCGCCCCATGGCGGCAGGGCAGGAGAGTTGGGAGTGAAGTCGAGCCTGGGACAGCAGGGAGGAACGGTGGTATTTCAGTCGTTGCCTTTTTTTGTGTTTCTCACTACCCAAACTTATTTTAATTGGCAAGAAATTAATTTTCCCCAAGCCGAGTGAGTTGTGCCCACAGTGGTAGCTGGTAAGTGATCTTTATCTTGACCCACAATCTCTCTCATCCCCCTTTTTCACCCCCCGTTCCACTGAGGAGGGGGAGTGAGCGAGGGGCTGTGTGGGTACCTGGCTGTTAGCCAAGGTTAATCTGCTAGAGTATCTCTTTAGGTAGGAAAACTACTCACAAGCCTTCTTTCAGAACTCCCAAGCCCGAGCTTTCAGCTGAATGCAAAAGGAACATGCACTCCTAAGTTTGAAGACAAGTGGTTTGTGTATCTACAGTCCTAAGGCTTAGCAAATGCAAGCGCTCACCAAGACCAATCCCTCACTGCCATCAAAATTATAAATTTTAATAGGAAAAGTGTTTTTTTGTTCATTTGTTTGTTGAGGTTTTTTGCAGGCTTGGGAATAGTTCATAATTTCTATTAGAAAAACAGAAATTGTTTTATTTCAGTGGGACAATCTTACTGATGCTCTTGGAGGCCAGTCAGGTTTTCATCCACTTGCCAGTAGCAGATGAGGATCTTTGCTGCTTCATCAGCTTTATACCCACTTGTCTTGGCACAGTTTGCTATAAATGAAAATTCATCTGGGGATTTCATACGGCTCTGAGACAATTTACCTAACTCAAATACAAGATGCACTGGGAAAATGAAGAGTCTGAATTGCCTGGATTATTAATAAGACCTCACCGTTCCAGGACGGCAATTATTTACCTTTATTTAAGGGAAACGAAGAGATGGTGCACCAAATGTCACTGAACCACAAAACCAGAGAAGGGTCCTGCATTTCTTCTTACAAAGTTCAGCCAGCCAAAAAGAATAAATAACGAAGTACATAGGTTTCTGCATACACTAAACAGATCCATTAAAGTGGATTTATCTGCACCATTTCCCTTAAATTACCATCATGCCCTACTTCTGTGCAATTTTCTGTATTTTGTGAAATTACGTTACCGGCGATCTAATCTCTTGTTTAGTGGCACTGTTATAGTGGGTTATGAAATACAGATAGGGCTAATACTGGAAGTCCTGCTGACTTGTGAGTCCTGCAGCAAAGCCTGAATGTTGTTAGATAGCTGAAGAGATAGTCGCATTACCCACATCATTACCAAAAAAAGAGAAATAAAGAAGAAACTGTACCCAATGTTCCCTTTCACTATTTCTATGTGTTTTCTAAAACAAAAGCATGTTCATGTAATGCAAGAGAGTGCTAAACAGTGAATAATGTAAGAAGTAGGAGGAAAAATACTCCTGCCCGGTGCTGTGGTTCTATCTTTTACTGCGTTCATGAGTTCCACTTTGCCGGAGACAAACATAGCGGCACAGCACTTCTCTCCCAGTCCCTGTCATTTTAGGTCTCAGTCACCACCTGCATTCTCACTGGCCCTGTCAGTAGAGCCATTTCCATTAAAATATGAATATTCAGATACACAGATGAGCACACTATGCTCACATAGCATACCAGAGTAATTCCCAACATAAATAAGGCAATTATTTAATCATACGTAAGGGTTTTATTACCCTTGAGCAACCCTTAGGTTTTACTAAACAACTAAAGTCCTCTGGAGTGTTCATTCACTTGCCTGAGAAAAGATTTTAAAGAACATGTTTTCATTAGGGTTGGAGAGATGTTTGGAGAGAGCAAAAGTCTTACCCAGTACACGTTCACAGCTCTCCAACACTAAACTTGTAAAAGCAGATTTAATCTCATAATCTTCAGACAAGTGGCAAAAAAGTCAATCAGTTTGGACATCACACATTTATTCTTACAAAATAATCTGTTCTACTTTCAGTATTTCAGAAATTAAGATAAACCGCATACCTGAATTTTTACATTTCTGAAGAACAATTTTTAATACATACCATACTTTACTAAAAACATAAGCTAAGAATAGAACAGTCTTTTTAAATGTTTAAATAAGAATGAACTCCAAGAAATGCCAAGTCTTCCAAATTATTCTGAACTAAAGGTTCACTATAAACTCATACCCCCCCCATGTAGTTCCCAAATGCCTTTAAAAAAGTGCTAAACAGCATGTATTCATTTTTAGAAAATCTAAGTGCCACTAGCTTTTAAGCTCTGCATTTTCCCCAATAGGAGAAAAAGTGCTTTAGAGAAACTGAAAATAAAGCATGGACACCACAGCAGCCAGCTCTGCCACGCTAACAAAAGAATTCAAAAGAAAGCTTTTCATTTATTTTCCATTCAGGGGCAGCTGTGTTCAGCCAGTGGGCGGGGACAGATTCTGCAAACAAAAGGCTGTGCATTTCTTTCAGACCTGAGGTAAGAACACCAAGTACAAGCTAACTAGGAATTTTACCATTGTTAGATGAAGATTTTTTAAGGAGCAATGGAACCCAGTCCACGTTGGCACACAGGATTCTCCTTCCTGGCCACTACAGCCTGATAGGGTTTGCTCTCAGCCTGAAGTTTCTCCCATCTTCGTTTGATGGATGCAGCTGCCACTGCTTTCACTTGTGGGTCCAGCCAGGAGCAAGGCTGAGCCCCTAGTCCAAAACAACAGATACACACAAACACACAGACACACACAGAGACAAAAACAGGGCGAGCAGTGCCTTTACCAGCACACAGATATGCAGCGAATGCACTCACATAAAATCCAGCAACACAGCCCCATCTTGTCCCTCGTGTCCAGCTGAACAGAACAGAAGCTCACCAGCGAGACACACTGGTCCCTGCACTCTCCAGCTTCACACAGACACTACGCTCACGGAGCCTTCAAACATTGCCACGGGATTAAACAGCATCTAATATCCAGGCCCAGACCCTGAGCCCCTGTGACCTGCCTCTGGCTCCTATCTGGGCTCCTTCCTGGTGCTGGTCTCCTCCTACTTGCCAGCTAGCCCAGCTTGAAGTTGGAAGTGAGTTTTGTTAGTGAAGTTTGCATGTGCATCAGGATCCCTATGGCACCTGGCTCTGAACACACTAACTAGCCCATGGCTGGCCCTCAGATCCCACAGCCCCTATGACCCATGGCCTGTTCTCCAGTTGCAGGTGCCCAGACCTCCTGGTGACACACATCCACACAGGCAGATGCAGCACAGAAAGCAAGGTCAAGCAGCAAATTGTCAGAAAAAAGGTTTAATAAGAAGCTGGGATAGACTGCAGAGATGTGGCGCAGGGCTCAGTCGGACAAGAGCACTGTTTAGGTCAGGCCGTCCCCATTTATCTCCCCTTCTAATCTTCCCACGTCTACCTTGACTCTTTCCTTCCTCTGCTCCTGTCTCTTCTCAAACAATGCGCCCCTAACAACTTTTCCCCATCAGTCCCCGTTTTGTTACACCCCTACCTAAATTTGGTACTCCTGATAACATTATCTGAGTCCCTTCAGCCTTGGGTGGCATTACTGATAGAGTCCAGTGGGCCTTGCAAGATTCCACCCAATACTCCCTTTAATTATAGGTGAGGTTTGACCATCTTCCCCTTAAACATCAGTGAAATTCTTCCACCTTTCACAGCAGCTATCTGTAATTTTTGTCAGCTTCTCACTCTGTTACTTGTGTTCAGCAATTTCTCGTTTCATGACCAGGAGTTTCTCACGGTCTTTTCAGCTGGCTAAACCTCAGGCCAGGGCCTAGACATCTGCCTGCATAACACAAGAAGATTTATTTCAAAGACAGAAATAAAAAGAAGTGCAGACACCCAAAATGATCATGGGTTTAATATGTGACAGCACTTAAGAAATGTTTCGGTGAAACAGTTAGGATGCTGTTATCTACCACAGCCAAACATCTGGTTCCAGGTTTCATACAGCTCTAGGTCCTTCGAGGAGACGCTAGGTCGCACGGTTCTGAAGGCACTCTCAAAGTCCAGAAAAGCAATAGGCCGTACTTGCTCTGGCATGATGGTTGCAATGTCCATGGACTGAAGACTGCGGATAGGGCCCAGAGAAGCTTCTCGGCAGAGCTGTGTCATGTCTGCCCCAGAAAATCCATTTGATTTCTTAACTATGAGTTCGATTTCCTCTTCATCTAGAGAGCAGTGCTCCTTTGACATTAGACGGGTAACAATCTGCCTCCTAGCTGAGGCTTCTGGAAGAGGAATGTACAGTCTCTTCACTAGCCTCCTTCGGGCAGCTTCATCAATTTCTTGGGGTCGATTTGTTGCTCCAACCACTAGAATACGATCTTCAGAGGAGGTTGCAGCCCCATCTAATTGGACCAAAAATTCAGTTTTTATTCTTCTTGATGACTCATGCTCCCCATCTCCACGCTGAGACAACAGAGAATCAATTTCATCGATGAAAATCACTGCTGGCTGTTGACATCGTGCCACAGCGAACAGCGCACGGACCATCTTTTCCCCCTCGCCCACCCATTTGGAAGTCAGAGAAGAGGCACTGATGCTAAAAAAAGTCGCTCCAGACTGGCATGCGATGCACTTGCCTATAAGAGTCTTGCCAGTCCCAGGGGGACCAAAGAGGAGAATTCCTTTAGGAGGACCGCGTAAGCCAGTGAAGATGTCTGGCCTCAGCATAGGCCAGACTACTATTTCTTTTATCGTAGCTTTCGCAAATTCAACTCCGGCAATGTCATCCCAGCTGACAGGAGGCCCGTGGTCCATGATCTCGTGCATAATGAGTTCAATCATTTTTGGTTCTATGTTTTTCAGTCGTTCATCTACAGGCAGTGATGGATCCGTTGGTCCTCTTGCATGAGGTTTACACTGTGCTCCTCCATTTTCATTTCCATCTTGTTTTGGAACTGGAGGAACAAATTTGCCAAATGGACCCCGAGATCTGCCTGCACCCAGTGACTTTTTAACACCTCCATATGACGAGACTGGTGCACGCTGGGGTGGGTTTTGAGACTTCTTTTGCTGATCCACCCACAGCTGTTCTTTTGCAGTTCTAAAACCAGGAACACCGCTCTCTTCATTTCTGTTTCTGTACCCTGAAAAACTACTGGTTTCTGTACTAATGGAAGCCTGGCAAGCAGCAAGGCTTGGCATCACTGTGCTGCCTTCATCAGCCAGACCATAAAACGCTTTTCTTTTCCCAGAACTTGTGGACCACGCAGGTACAGCTGACTGATTGGAAAGAGACAAATGTTGTCCATCACGACAGTTACCTGACATTTTCAGGGAACTACTACTTGTCACTTCTTTGCTTCCAAACAGTGGAGATGCCTGGGAGCCTGTATGAAGCTGTTCGTTTAAGGAGGCTGAAGAGGCAGGAAGCACATCCGAAGTTTTGGTCACAGGAGGCACACTGCTTTGAAGAGATTTTGAAGATGAGGGATGCTCAGCACATTTTGCTGAGCCAGCACAGAGTTCAGTCTCTCTGTCACTGCTGCAGACACTGAGTTTAGGAAGATCTGGAGCAGCAGAGGCACTGACCCCTTTATCAGCTAGTACACAGGCATCTGTTGGTGCCATCTGAGAGCTCTGGAAATTTTTGCCAGTGTGCATCCTCTCTTGCACACACTTTAATTCAAATACATTATCTGTTGTCAAGGCAGATTGCCACTTGTCACTGTCATTTTGCTGACACTTTGCCAAAGTCAGAATGTTTTCAGCGTAGTTATTCAAGCCAGTCTCGATGTTGTCAGAGTCAATAATTGAGGAGTATTTCTCTGCGTATGTTTTAAACAGGTTGGCAGCACAGACCTGAGAGATCTCAGAGTTTGCCCATGCATACTGAATATGCAGGATTTTGGCACGGTACTCATCTGCCTTCTGTCCAGGTGTGCAGGTGCCAGAGGTAATAGCAAAGTAACTTTTCTGCCAGTCACTCAGGTGGACGGTGCTGTGAGTGGGGGTTTCCATCACTGCCACTGAAACATACATAAAATACCTGCTGTTATAAAACACATTTCACAGCTATTTGCTTTGCCTGTTTTCCCCCCTTCCTAAATACATACACATGAAAACATACATTATTTTAATTGAGAGAAACAGAGCAGCAGATCTTGTAAGCTACTTAGCCAGTCTGGACACTTTACCATTTTCAAAATGCAACCGGCTTTGTGGTGTAAAGGCATTTCAGCTGAGGTTCTCTTTTCTTCCTAGTTCAAAGAAAGAAAAGAAGAAGGGGGGAAAAAAAAAAGAAAAAAAAAAAAAGGAAAGCTTACTTCTAACCAGAGGTCTCCTGGGGAGGTAAGTAGACTGCAAAGAATGGTAACAGATGGCCAAACAAAAATTGGCCTTGTTAAATGAAATCACCAGTGCTTTCACTCTTCTTTGACAGAATGCGGCACAGTGCAGAGGAGGCCACATTATATATCGCTGTCAGAATAATGACATTTATGGCAGAGATAGTAATAAAAATGAAACAATAAAGCTAATAAATAAAACTATATGTGAAGTCTGTGAGGGGAGCTAAAAGTGGAATGAATAATATAATGAATTTAGTAAACTTTCAGACTAAGAAAATATTTACAGATTCATAGCAAATGCCCAAAACTATTTATTCCGTTTAGAACATACTAAAATCTCCCCATTTTATATTTTAAAGAAACAAAGCTCTCGTGTGTTTTAAAGCGATGCTTGTTTCTCAGTTTTAGAAAGTGGGATTTAAATTCCTCCAGTAATTTTTTAGTTTAAGAAATAGGAAAAATGACATTTAGCTAGAAAGCAGCATTTTTCTAGACTTGAAAAGATATGCTCACATTTACAATGTATTTTCAAATCAGCTTTTCTCTGCAACGCATCATGTGAAGAGATATTTCTCATCAAGTCAAGAATGCATGATTTCAGAAAAGACACAGGCGCAAGCAAAATTACGAGAAACCCCCCACTCCCTCAACAGGGTTTGCAGAAAGCAATTAACACACAGTAATTTCGATCTTCTCATCTGTCCATACGGGACATACATCTAATATATGATATGACTGAAATACATCAAATTCTAATTTCTCTTTTTTTAACTTCAATATGTAACAGGATGTTCCAGCCAGAGAATACTTTACTAAAAAAACCAAACTGTTAAAGTAGAGGTTGATATATTCTGCACCCCTTCTCACAGAGTACAAGGCAACCTGCAGTCTTCTGAATCAGCTGCAAACCATGTATGAGTGCCAATTAATGTACACATGTAATGTACATGCAAGACTGGGGAGACAGCTGAAGGAATAAGGAACAGGGGGGGTTCTCTCTACTTTCTTTCAAAAAGTCTTGCATCGGTGTAAGACAACAATATGATTATGGCAGGAGGAGTTACGCACATAATAAACAATAAGGAGATAAATTATTTTGGTTTGGATTTTTTTTAACTTCAGCCCAATTTTGTTTAGAAAAGTCAAAACATCTTTTACCTCCAAATTCAGTGCCTTTACATGGGAAGCCAATTTTAAAAAAAAACACAAAAATAAGATTTCCTCTGAAAAATTGCTGTCCACTTTTGTACTGTGAGAAGTCTAACTTGTGCCTACTGAATGAGGTGCAAATTCCCACCATAATCTATCTACAGCTGAGCAACAGGTGAACAAGAGATGGAAGGCTACAGCCTTTTATTTCTTTTCTCTAAACAACTACTACACAGCATACTAAATAAACTGTCACCGTTTAACATCTTATTAAACATAAAAGCTAAGTTTAGAAAAAGTTTAGTATCAGGCATTTGTTCCCATTAAATATTTCCATAGATTTACATCATTCAGAATAGAAAATCTCAGGTTCTCCACCACTTTACCTAAAGATTTAGTAATCATCTTCACAGCTCTGAGAGGAGGTCATCATAAGTGAACAGAGGTAGCTAGTTTAAAATTTCAATTTGAGTGTTCTTCATTATCTTCTAATATCACATTCTCTCCCTATTCTAATTCCTATTAGCTGTCCTCATAGTCTTACTGTTTTTTCCCCAAGAGCTAGCCAAATGTGTACATGGACAGTCAGTCCTTCTTCGACAGCCACTGTTCCTAGATATTGTGGGCATCATACTTTCATGTAAGTGTCTAACGTCGAGGGTTTATCAAGGCACTGACAGGCGAGTGCTCGGCCTCAAGCAAACAGAGGGGGTAAGTAACTACCTGACACGCGTGCTGGGTGTCACTACGTTCATACACGAACATATACACCCATTCAAAACACGGGGAAAGCCTGCCTGCCCACAGGCAAGAAAACCAGAAAGGAAGCACGCCAGCTGCCCGGGTAAGGCTTAGCCCTCTGCGCTGCAGCGGAGCACGCACAGGCCGATACCATCCAGCCGGCAAGAAACCAGGGCGGGCAGGGCCCCTCAGCTCAGGAGCCCCCACTGGCACCCCCTCCAGCAATTCAACCCCCTAACCACACCGGAGGAGAGGAAGCCGAGACTAGAGTCCCGAGGCTTCCCCAGCGGCCTTTGTCCCTCCACAACGGGGCGAAGGGACGCCCCCGCCTCGGAATCTGCTGGGCTGCGCGGGCCGCCCGTGAGGGCTCAGCCGCGGAAGCGCGGCGAGGGCCCTCATGCCCGAGGGGAGGGGGCGCAGCGGTCGCCA